TCCAAATTTCTATCCTGCGAACCCTCTGCCCATCTCACCCGTCTCCATAAATCCCACGAAACGCGTCTCTCCTAATTCCCGATAACACGCGAGCACGACCATTAACGTCGAACGCGTTTCCGCGTGTAATTCGCGACGATTTTTCCCCCAAAAGAAGCACTTCTCTCCCCGATACCTTCGTTATTCAAAGAAATCTCGCAGGAGCCTGTATAGAGAGCAGGGGACTATGTAGAATTCAATAGCTTATATAGAGTGTAAAGGACAGGAGCCTATATAGAGGGCAGAAGTCTATATAAAGGACAGGGGCTTATATAGAGGGTAGGAGCCTATAGATAGGGCAGGGGCCTATAGATAAGACAGGAACCTACATAGAGGACAGAAGCCTATATAGACGGCAGAAGCCTATACAGAGGACAGGAATCTATATACAGAGCAGAACTATATAGAGGGCAGGGGTCTATATAGAGGGCAGGAGCCTATAGATAGAGAAGACAAGAATCTATATAGAGGACAGAAGCCTATATAAAGGGCAGAAGCCTATACACAGGACATGGACCTATATAGAGTGCAGGAGTCTATAGATAGGGCAGGAACCTATATAGAGGACAGGGGCCTATATAGAGGGCAGGAACCTGTATAAAGGACAGAAGCTAAGATAGAGGACAGGAGCCTATACGAAGGGCAAAAGCCTGTATTCGGGGCAGGGGCCTACGTAGAGGGCAGGAGCCTATAGATAGGCGAAACCCTGCGACGTCGCGTCGATGTCTCTAGCCCTTGGTCCCCCGTGCGACTGCTCTGAATAGCCACCGATCCATCGTGCAGGCAAAGAAAGCCAGCTGGTTTCGTGTAACGTTTAATTGGAGCGGTCGGAAACGGGTATTAATTTACCTTCGATACGTGTCGGCAATAACGACATTGATACACTTTTTGCCGGTCCCCAGGGGGGCAGGGAACTAATTTCAACTTAATCGTCGTCTTATCGCAATTTACCGAGTATAAGTGAGCCTTAATTGACTCGATTGCTGTACAAGGACTGGTTGTTCCCGGCGAAGCAGCGAGCACAAAAGGCGGTCAGCGGCAAAAAGTCCGCTTCAACGAGCATTTCTCTCGGTCGTGGAATGTCGAATGGCTCGCGGTTCCTAGAACCTTCGTCTCCACCATCGTCTCCACCATCGTCTCCGCGTCTGTTTTCGATCTCTGTCCATCCCGATCCCTTTTCGCCAGGGGATCGGGGACGAGTCGCGAGGAAAATCCTGCGTCCGTCGATGACCACGCGACGCCTCGGAATTCCAAACGACGCTCCGCGCACCCGGCACCAGGCACCCGAGGCCTCAATGAGTCTCGCAGGGTCTGGCGTGTTTACAACGCGCGGATACGGTCGCGGGTACGACGTAGACGATTGTGGACTATCGCATACTCGAATGAACGCGATGCTAGAACGTCCAGCCGGATGAATCGTAAATACAACTGGGTTTGGGTTCGATAGGTACAGTCGGCGTTACGCGGATACGTGTAAACGAAATGGGAAAAAAAGAGAAACAAAATAAAAAGGGATAGGTTGACAGGACTCACTTTGCGCCTTCTCCGAATCCTCGGCAGCGGGTAGTTCCACCTCCTCGACGTCGACCAGGCTCCGGATGCTGAAGACACTCTTGGCGACCCTGGTCTTCTGAAGGTCGCCCTCTGCCACTCTCCTAGGGGTCGTGCTGAGATCCATCGTTGTCCAGCACGATGTTTCACTGGTCGAACCGTAGCGAAGAAGGGAAGGATGGAGACATGTATAACGTCCTTTCACGGCGTATAGCACTTCTGTAACACTGTTCTCTTTTCACCGGTCCGCATCTTACGGCAATTAACCGCGACCGCGTAATAGTGACCGATTATGTCTATGTCTATATCGTCTATGTCGTCCGTGTCCTCGTCTAGGTCCGCGTCTAGGTCCGCGTCTAGGTCCTCGTCTATATCCACGTCGACGTTCGATCGATCGTATCGTCGATTCATCCGGTCACGTACACTCGTTTGCTCGTCCTCGTGTACGGAAAACTCGCCCTCGTCGTGGTCCACGGATCGGAGGTGAGCTCGGATCGGTATAGAGTCAAAGGCAAAGTCAAAGTGGCGAACGTCGCGGAGGCTCGACGCTTGCTATCGCGCGGTCAACCGATCTTCGATCGAGAAACGCGACGCATTACGTTCTTTTTTTCGCGCATCGGTCACGACTTCTAATCACGATCCTCTATCTCGCTGTCGAGCGATAACGACCGCCCTCGTGCTTCTCTTATCGTCTTCTATAATGAAATTCCGAATCGTTATCCGGTATCGATCGACCGGTATCTAATGCCACCGCGTTACACCGGAAATTTCATATCTGTCCGTGAAATTCGCGATCGTCCGATCGTCGCGAGAGCTGTCGATCAGTTCGATCCGATCGTCTTTCGTGACTCGTCCAGTCTTCGCGGTTCGATCTTGATCTTCTTCGATCGGTGACACTTACAGCCGACGCGGTTCCTGGCCACTCGATCGGCTCGACGTTCACTTGCCAGTGCGAGGTCCACGAAAGGCAGAACAGCGTGGTATGGTAGCGCGTAATCGGCGAGATTGTTAACAGCGGCGCGTATCATTGCAGACTGAGGTGATCGGTGGCCACGGGTGTAGCCAGTGTATACGACGTAACTGCCTCGTGAACGAAGTTTGTATACCAACGTGGCACGGACTCGCTTTACCTGGAAATATCAATGGACTCGGTGCCTCGAGTCGCTGCTGCCTCGTCGACCTTTCTCCCGGTCTGTTTATCTCTCGGCTGGTGTTCTCGTCGCCGGTGTATTTATCGGATTCACTCTTGTCCCGTAAACGGACCGTATCGACAGCTCGATCATCGATCATTCCTCCGTTCCACGCGACCGGTACACTGCGCCTTCGTACCGATTTCTCTCAATCTCCATCGATTCTTCTCGATATTCGATTCCTCGCCGATTTATTACCGATCTCTTACCGATTTCCTTGTCGATTTCCTTATCGATCTCTTGCCGATCCGTTGCCGATCGCACGGTCGAACGTCACTTTTCCACCATCGGGACGGATCCGCGTTCTAGCTGGTGTCGCGACGCGATCGGCGATCCACCTGTTCGAGGAATCTCGCGATGGCGCTTCGCGGGTGATGGATGGCCGACGGAAGGATGGCCGTGAAACGACGAGAAGAACAGGGGAACGGTTGACAGATGACAGTTGACGGAGGGTCAAGGGAAGAGGTGAGAGTGTGGCGAGCGCGTGATTCCACGCAGCCAGCGCAGCCACGCGACGAGCGCAGACACGAGAAGCAGAACCGGTCAGCAGCGAGCACACGCGTATCGCGAACTCCTGTTCGGCAATGTTCGCGTCCGAGTTCCCTCCACCTCGAGGAGGTCGATCGTGTCCCAAGGTGGTACCACCTGGTAGAGGGGAAGGTGGAACACCGAGACCGCCCTCCTCGAACAAAATGGAGTTTTCTCGAGCTTTCAACTCCGCCTACCGTGGTCCACCCACGTCGTTTCTCCAGGTTTTACCGCTTCGACCGCGAGCCACCAACCGAATAAGCTCGTCTCTCTTATCTTCGGCTCTTGTTCCTCGCTTCCTCTCGGAGTTCGGTACCGCGGCGTTTCGATAATGGGGTAGCTCGTCGAAGAGAGTGGACGGTTATTCGTTGGTTGGGATCTCTGTACCCGACGAGCAAAAGGGATCGGATTTCCCGGAGAGCGGAAGAAAAACGGCCACCATGTATACGTAGACTTTTTCGATTTATTTTTATACACTGTATCCGTTAATCTTTAAATATATTACGTGCGGTGTATTTAGGTATAAATCGAGCGGGCAAGCGTTTGGTGCGAATCGATCGACTGGGTGAAACGCGACAATCGCGCTCAGCGGTGGATAGCGTAATTTTTCGGGACGAGTTCAAAGGGGTCTGTCATCTGTCGGTGGGTCGATCGGTAATACTGTCGGTAGCGGTAGCCAGTCGATCGACACGTTCCAAGCAATGGCCGGTCGCTGCAGCGGTGCGTTCGCCTTCGATAAACGCGAACGCCTTTCGTTTGAGCCAACGATACAATCCTGCTGCGACGCGTCGCTTGACGAATTCGCATATACCTATAAACGAGGAGAAGTGTATACGTGTGTGTATGCTGGTCGAACGAATTAAACGTAACGGTATAATCGTGGAGAGAACCGAAGACGGGGGAGAGAGAGAGAGAGGGGTAGGGGGAGAAAAACGAAAGAAGACAAGTGGATAGTTTTCGTACTGGCACGATGACGCAGCTGCGCTCGAGCGTACGAGTTTCGAAAGACGAGAACGAATCGCGTCTATCTCGCTTGAAAGTCGACGCAGGAGATACGGACGTTCGATCGACAGACGCGAAAGGCACGCGATCGTCGCGCCATCCTCCGCCCACATTCGCACATAACCTCGTCGCAGAGGCTTCCACATTCCCAGCAGTGTCATTCCTTCTTCCACACTATTTCGAGAACGCCGTCGCTTACCTGCAAAGATTCGTCCTCGATGAGAAATAGAGAGAAAAAATTAATGTATATCTTTGGCACAATAAATACGAATACACGGTACAATCTTCCACGGTGGGCGTCTCGCCGGTCAGCTCGGGATCGTTAACGCGCGTTGCAACACCCCGACGAGATACCGAGACGTAGTCTCTCGACTCCTCACCGATCACGTCACATGAGATCCTTCGTGTTCCTTCTTTCACGCGATCGCTCTTCGACAATATGAAACGGGGAAAAAAATATCCTAAACAAATCTTGCAACGATACAGGAAATTACCACTAACGATATTACACTTAGCACCTAACGGGGTTTTATCGTTTCAGGAATTATTATCGAATCGTGGTTGTACACGGAATCGTTACTTCGACCGCAAAGACGTATCGAATATGCGACGAAATTGTATATATATATATATATAAAAAAAAAAAAGTGAAATAAAAAATAAAGAAGAAAAATTGATCAATAACGCGCGCGAAACAAGAGAAAATTTATGCAACGCTGACGGTACACGTTGCTGTGAACACCTAGGCCTTAATTTTACGTAAACGTACGAATAATATGCGATACAACGACGACCTCGTTAGAAGTTGTCGCGAACAATCGGAATCGATCGATCGACCGAGCTCGTTATCGATCGTCGGTGGTATTGAAAACGTCCTAACTAACTTACCATTTACTCGCGCAGAGACCTACTTCATCCGCAGTAGATCACGCGTGCATCGTGTCTAGGCTAAAAGGTGACAAAAAGTCCAGCTTCCTGGTATCTTGTTCGGAGATAAACGAAATCGTAAAGTATCGCGGAACAAACGAACCAAATGCCCTGTAACAAATAAAATGCATCGAATCTCTCCGATCGAAATAATTCGCGTAAAATTATATCGATCTACTTTCGTCTTAAGTTACGCGAATTCATCTTCGATTGCATCTGCATGCTCCAATCGCCGAATATAATTATTTGGATTAACTGCAGATTAATTCGAATAACGATAGAATTTCAATGGGTTCGTTTTGATCGAGTACAAAATCGCGTTATCGCTCCTCGTGTTTTGATTTGATCGATCGATTATTGTTCCACGTTACGATATCGAAATGCCTCGCAATTACCATCTAGTAGAAAGCACGGATATACAGGAAGTTAATAGATATAGAAGACATTTTATTGGGATTAAAGTTGAACGGTGGAACAACGAAAAAAGTTTGTATTACGATTCTTTTCTCATAATCATTCAAAACGATTATCTTGGTCGAGATAATGCTCGGATATATATATATCTATATATCTATATAACGTGTAATAGTTACGAAATATAAAGCGTCGATTACACGCGCCTAGGAACTTTTTTCATTGCATAGAGGTCTCGTAAAATTGAGCCCGAGAAAATGTCTCCGATATTTATTAACCCTCTATATGACTGTTACATTCGCGCGTCGTAGCCTAACCTCTTTGTAAAACTCGGTTACGATTTTATCCTAATTTCGGCTACTTTTTTTTCTCGTACAAAGATACGTTTTGTCTTTCCGATATAAAAGTTTCGTATAATTATAGTCGAGAGTTATAATTGATTGCAGTTTAACGTTGCGTTCAATACTTTAATGCCGCGTCGCATATTTTTTCTTTCTTTACTCTTCCTTTTTTTTTTTTTTTTTTTTTTTTCTTTTTTGATTAGAAAGTCGCCATAAGTGATCAGACAATGCGATTACCCGACGCGTACAATGAGTATAAAAGTCTAGAGACTATCGATTCCCTATGGCATCGATCGATCGTTGAACCGAGAATTGTTACGACTCGTCGGTTTTGTACGCGTTACGAAATCGCGTGCCTCGAATACGAAAGACGCGACAAAACGTTACTGCTAGGTCCATTCTTCCTTGGTACACAGTTGGAAAAATGTGGTTGCGAATCCATTTCCTTCATGGTCGACGAGCATTTTTTTCGAGAATTATATCGTCTGGCGCTAAGCAGACACGTGGTTTGGCATGTTCGACGATGACGCAGTCTGCAACGGAGAGCGTGACTGATGGAACCTGAGCAATTCCGAGACGGTGACAGCCACGCGAACCACTCCACGACCTCCTTCCAGTACGTCACTAGCACAGCACACGAGATTCTGAAAATAACAAACACGCGTGCGTTCTTCATTAATCCGAGTTTATCGAGGATTGGTATTATATCGACGCGACAGGATATAATACAGGTGACGACCGCACGTCAACTGCTGAAGCAGTTATACCAAAAGAATATTTTATTACCAGTGGAAATAGTATTACAATCGTTATGGTAGTCGTACAATCGGTGTTACAGAGTACGTCTCTCGAAAGTAAAATCGAATATTGTAATAGCACTGTCACTCGAGTAGCGAAACACAGAGATTCCCGACGATTGTTCTCCGGAACGCGCGAACTACGAAACAACTGACGCAATACGACGCGTTATTACGAAAAAGATGACGCAATAGGACGCGCTATTACGAAACAGATGACGCAATACGGCTCGCTATTACGCAACAGATGACGCAATGCGGCGCGCGCAACTTGTGCTCGAACGACAATGACGCCATCGGACGACGACGAGTCGCATTTACACGAATGCGCGCGCAGCTCTGATAATTTGCGCGCCAAAACAACTACGACGTAGGGAATCGAGTCAAGATCAGACAATATTCGATTAATCGGTCGAATCGACTTGACTTCACTCCGGCAGTATAACCGTATTATCTTTGTGCGTGTGGTATATATAAATTAAGCACGAGGCACGCCGTCCACATTCACCGCTCACGCGATCTGAAGGCATCGTCGTCACCAAACGAACGATAACTATTTCGACGACTGTTCTCGCATCGCAGTGCTCGTGAAATCGTTTGGCGAATGTGGTGGTGGCGATCCAGATTCGATTGTACAAAGACGGAAAGTAGAGAGAGACAGAGAGAAAACGATCGTATTCCGCCTATCAGTTGTGACAGTTTGCAACAGACGTCGTACAACGACCATGAAAAAGAATTGCTCGTGCGTTCGACTCGATGAACGGACACGATCGTTCGGAGGAACATGAATTAAATAATAGAGGCCTTCCCTTTTCGATAATCATAGAAAAAAGCTTAAGCTTAAAAACCAACAAGATAAAAAACGAAGCACCGAGTTTTGAAGAGCGATCGAAATTTAAGCTCAAATTCTGCGACGTATTAGCTTACGTAGTACAATTTGAAAAACAAAAAACGACCAAAGAGAAAAGTAGCATCAACGTACCATATATCTGTGTTCATACAATAGAGTATGATATAATATAATATAATAATATATATATAATATAATCTATCTATATATATATATATGTGTGTGTGTGTATATATATATATATATATACGCTCTTTTTCTTTCTCTCTGTTCTTTACAAAAATTATACAATTATACAAGCTAATGCAACGGAATGATTTCGTGTTCGGTCTCCTTATCACGCGTCTTTTCTACGTTCACCCTTTTGCGATTAAATAAAAGGACGCAGCCTCTTGCGGAAGCGACAACTAATCGTAAAGAAAAACAAAAGAAACCGCTGCGGCAGAGCACGGAAAACGTTGTATAGAACAGTCATCAGTAAACTAAAGCGAAATAACCAGTCTTACGGTTGCGTTTAATTCGATGCAATTACGTCTCGTCCGATCGTAACGAAGAAATAATACTGATACATTCGTCACCGTAGAACAATACAGTCACGACCCTTCGTTAGGTTAGGTTCGTCGAAACGATTTCTGTTTCCGAGGAATGAGATCTTTGGATGCATTTCGAAATTTATTCAGACTTCATAGATGATTAACGTCCAGGTAGTCGGTGATTGACGACGAAATTGACCGGAAAAGGAGTGTAAGAGACGGAAGGAACAAAGAAAATTAAGTAACGAATTAAGTCACTGTGCGATTACGAAATAACTTAGGGGGAAACGTGGGTTAAAAAAAAAACATAACGAGTCGAACTGACTAGAACCGAAGATAACCAACGATTAGAATTAATACCAAGGACTAGAAATTCGTAAACGTTCTGCCGCCGATCGATCCAAGCTGCACGAATGAAAAACGAAACGTAACTTAACGGTCAAAGTAACGGAAGTATTCTGGAAGATTCAGCTTGCCTTGCATTCTCATGGATGATTGTACGTTGGCATAGTTGCAGAATATAGCAACTGGTGTGTCGTTACGTCATACAGTTACCTCGCAAATACGTGCGCCTACGATCAGTTCGAAGTATAGATTTTTCATGTAAGAATCGATATAACCTCAAAAAAAAAGAAGTCAAAAAACAGACATACTTCTACGATTCTACTTGTAGACCGTAATAGAAGCCATTGATTTGTCGTAAAAATTCCTTTGTGCATTCTTGATCGATTCGGGATAGCGTCGATACATCCAACACACGTGTTTACTCGTGTCGTTTCATTCGACGCACTAACAGCGATGTAAAAGCATCTCGGAGAGTCGCAGCGCATGCGCGGTTCAACCGTCCAAGGCATTTGGCACTACGCTACTACGAAACAATATTTTCGATTCGACGCGTGTCCATGGAGCAAAAAACCGGAAGCAACGATCTGCCGCGATTCGAAGACTCGATATAAGCGACCCGTTCCTCCTCAAATTCCTTAATTATACGCAATATATTCCTTATCATACGAATATATATGTATATATGTATATATAGAAAGAGAATAAGTTAGACGTGTGTATAACGATATACATGTCGTACGTCCGCTACGTTTTTGTTTTGTCGTTAAACTCGTTTATACGAAAATATGGAGATTATCTTAGGCTATGACCGAATTGCTTGGTCGGTGAGGTGTAAGTACTCTTGCTTTGACGTTCCGCTCCCAACGAAAAGATTTCTTGTCTCGACCAAGAGAAAGAGAACAAGAGAGAGGGAGGGAAATGGAGAGAGAGAGAAAAGAAAATTTATCGTTGCCGCGATCTCGTGAGGGAGGGACGCAATACTGCTCGTAAACAATAAAAAACAAGATCGAATGAGAATTCCTTTCGATTTCGAATGTGCGTTAAACCTACGTACCAAAATAGGAAATCTTTCAACTCAAAGAGATTTCTAGCACCTTGTTGCGAATCCTGTAGTACTCGAAGGCTACCTATCACAGACCCATCAATCCTGAAAGAGCCGTAGGCGATTTATATTGGTCGAACAATAAAAAAATACTACCATTCGAGGTATACACGAAGGTTCTTTCCTCTTTCTTCTCATTGAACTCCGCCATCGTCTCAGGCGATGCCGCAATACCGGTTAAGAAAATCCAGTTCGTTTTCGTTCCCCTCGTTTCTCGCGATTTCGCGTGATCCTGTCATCCAGAGAGATCATTCGAATCCAAAGCTACCGATGAGATATTTCTCGAACGAGTATTGGACACCGACTCGCCACTTCGACCATCAACCCCGCGCGTAGCAAAATACTATTTTCCCGACAGATCCTGCTCGACGATAGCTCTCACCGATCGCAACGATCCAGCGATCCAAACGAACGATTCATCGTTCAAGGTACATGCACACACACAGGCGATCTCATTTGATATGCGAGCGTTTGGCAGCTTTGATTACGCTCTTTGATTTCGCATTCTCATCCATCGCGAGATGTTCGCGTTCCACGACCAGAACTCGGGCACCGATGTCCCTTCGAGTCCTCGTCGAAGGCTTACACCAAAACAGAAACGCTTAATTAACCTACGCACTACATAGCAGTTTCTACAACTAGGCGGGCTAAGTGTTTACGATGAAGCGCCACTCGATACTTAGGAGCTATTCGAATACTAGTTGACCGAAATTTTCCAGCGTCTCTCTGGAGCCACAACGATGGAGGCAAAACAACGACCCTGTTTAAGCTAGAGCTGTGACACGATCGGTAATAAATTAAGTCGGATACACAAGCAAAGCGCTCAGCTGCTTAAATAGACCAAGGATCAACCGCGTACTCGCGAAACGTTTGTCCACGGACAGAAGGTTCGGGGTGTCTCGATTCGGTAGCGATTCGTTCAACGAAGGATTGGGAAAAGAAAACGAGCACGGAAATCAGAGGTCGCGAAAGTCCATCGAATCAGGATAACGAGACACTTCTGACAACGATAGCCTCCATACGATTTCCCGGATATCGTACGTATCGTGCTTAAAATACGCTCGCAATTAGCATCCGTGTCGGAAGGGGGCGAGTACTCTGCGCGACACTCGACCCCGTTCTTCGGCCGTCAAAGCAAACGAGGTACAAAGAAGGTGAAATAAAAAAAAAAAAAAAAAAAAAGAAGAAATTACGATAAAAATATCGTGCCGCCCTAAGAGTACTAAGTAGGGCAGAAGAGACCGGGGTGAGCGGCGTGCAGTTGAATCGAGCGACTCGATGGCTCGACGAATCGAGAAATTATCGATGAAACGTTAATCAGGAAATTGAGAAAAGCGTTCACCCGAGTCGCTGCACCAATCGCGTCGCGATTCGATATATCGGAGTAATCCCAGAGTAATCTTCGATTGTGCTTTTGTCTTGCGAGCGTCGTTCGTTCCATCGTTTTGCACTCTGGCGTTCTCGTCTTGCTCGCTCTTTTGTTTCTTTTAGTCAGGGATGGGAAAGAGATAGAGCAGAACGAGGGTAGACAGGAATGTGGCGAAAAGCATCGCGGATAGAACGCGATCCTGAATCGCATGGGATGAACCTGCGGCCGATTCTTCGGTATCTTTCTCTCCGTCGCGGAGAAGAAGAAGAGCGGAGACGAGACGCGCCAGAGCCTCCAGCCCGTACGCGTCCATGTAACCCACGTCCATGAGTGCGTCCGCGTCCATTAACACCTCCTGCAACACCAACAACGATACTACTCAGTCCCAGTCTCTACTACGTCGCTGGTCGATTTCAATCGCTTTCTTTTTGACATTACAGAACCCTGCCCTTTTACATCACTCTTGCTTCTTCGAAGCGACACCCTCCTCGAGATCAACGATTCGAACCTTCCGCGAGAGAGCTTCGACTTTACGGATTAAACGCTGCACGAAAATCCTTCGATTTAGGTGCTTCGTCGAGAAAGTGAACACACTGCCAGACTTGGGTAGCGTTATTAACAGGTGTACCCAATTCTGGTTCCTACCTCGAAAGGATACAGATACGAGTAGCTAGGCTCGAACAGCGAACAGTTGTCAAAGAGAGACGCAATTATCGTTAAATCGCACAGGAGAACGTCAAGAAGAAGACGCTAGGACGAGACGCGTTCGAAGCGTTCTCCGACGAAGCGACGAGCGACACAAAAGCGAATACGAGTCTAGGCGCATGCAACTAAAGCTTCTTTCTTGGCTTCTCTCCACTTCTTTCTTCCAATTCTTGCGTTTCTTCTCTTTTGCTTTTCGTTTTCCTTCGTTTTATTCCTTTTGGAACGAGAAAAGTTTTGAAAAAAGGCGAATCGCATACCCTCGCGACTGAATAAAAATCGGGGACTGACTAGTAGTTGTTGGAAATATCATGGACAAACGTACCGGGCTGTTGTCGAAGCGTTAGTTACGACCCTGCCAAGAGGCGTTCCGATCGACGATAGCACGGATGTCTTTCGATTTTGCACTCGGACATCGTGCTTTCACGATAAAGAGACACGAACGTGTTCGCAGGGCGTGTCGAGTACGGTCGTCACGGAAAAGTACGTCCAGTAACCAAACAGGGAAACAAAAAAATGATTTTGTTCCACGTGGAAGCATACGCTTTGTCTAACGTGCGTTATACATGCCGCAGGACCATTAGCGAGAGACAAAGCACGAAAACTCTCTTTCTCGAGAGAGAAAGAAAAAGAGAGAGAGAGAGAGAAATGGAATAATAAAAGGTATCGAGCGAGTAGCTTACCTCATCGACACCTATCTTCCGACACGCTTCGAGGAAATTGTCGACGTTACGCCTGCATCTTGCCATTGTCAACTTGGGCTGTAAATCGGAGTATAATCGTTATGCTCTAATCGTACGGAGATCGTCACCTCAATTAGATAGCCAAGAATACTTACCACAGCAGGTGAAGGAACGTGGATACTGGCAACCGATCGAGGTCTTACATGATTTGCCAAGTGACAAAGTACAACTCCGTCCGTTAGCGCCGGGGCAAGGTCTTCCGGCAGAGCCATCTTCAGCCGGGTTTCGATGTGCTAAAAGTAAACTCAAACCTTAGCTATCTCTCTGTTGTAACAGGTGATTAACAGGCGAAAGTTGATTCTTTCGTTCTTTCCAATACCCACATTTCGCAGTTGCTCGATCAGGTCAGCTTCCTCCTTGGCACGTTCGAACTCTCTTCTCATGGTAAACGAATATTTCTCTGGCACGTTGCTGTTCCATGTCACCGATCGAGGAGACTTTGGACTTCCACCGTTCCTGCTGGGACTCTTGTTACCTAACAGATACCATCGACGTCGCGTTTAATCGCATAAAACGTTAATCGTCGTTTCGCCGCCTCTGCGTTTCTCTATTTTACCTTCCACGTAGCCAACGGCGGTTTTGACTAGCCTAGGCGTGTGTCCTGGACTGGTGTTGGAGGATAAAATGCTCGAAGATGTTTTGATCGGCGAATTAGGCTTCTTATAGGGCTGCTCGAGGTATTTCCCGTTCTTATTGTTGTATTCGTTATTGCTACCGTTGATAATCGGCGTGTTCTGATAGTTGATGCGTGACGGAGTTACCTTCTGCACTGGTCTCTTGGTCGCGTTCTCCTCGTTGAAGATCTGTTTACCGGTCATACCCACCGCGTCTTTATTGCTAGCCAAGTCCGTCTCGTTGTTTTGCGATTCGTTGCCTGGTGGTGTGACCTGTTCTCGAGGCCTGTATACGCTGGGTCCCTCATTAGCCCTCTGTTGCCTCAACGCCTCTTTATACTCTCTGAAACACCACCATTATCGTACAGCTACGCAACCGACGTCCATTGGTGAACGCAAACGCATACCTGTAGGTCTGTATGTGATTGAGCGGCCTCTTTTCGTCCCCGTTCATCAAAGAGGTAGCGTTCGCGGTCGACGTTTGCAACGGTTGCACGGACTGCGTGTTCGTTGATACCGGTGTCGTTTGATTCAGATGAGCGGATTCGAGGGGGCTGAAACAGAGGCGGGAAGGACACCCGGTGATTAAAGCTCGTCTATTAGCCGGTAAAAATCACTACGCATCCACGTGATGCACAGCGACAGGAACGGTGATTGGCTTATTAACAGCTCGCTTACCCGGGTGGCGTAATCGACGCGTGGTAGAGGCCAGAGGTCATCGGTCTTCTGACATCGCCGCCGTTCTCCGAGGTGCTTCTTTCTAGTTTCCTCTTTTCCAACTGATCGTGCAGTATCATGGCCTGCGAACAGAGTATCGTTAAGACAAAGAGAAACTCGGGAGAGAAAGCCGGGCGAGAGAAGGAGATAACAGAGAACGAAAGGTGAGCGGATTCCTAACACGCCGGTCGGATGCCGCGCGCGTTAATCGCGAGGGACGCGCTGCCGGCGAGTTCTTTCAATGGGTTAAGGTCATTCAACGAGGTTTGAACGACGGCCAAGCACGGCTCGACAACACAGATATCATTTTCAAGGGGCGCGTGAGTTCTATTCACTTGCTAAATATAGACGTTGTATCATACGCGGCCGGACACGGAGTAACTCTGAAACGTTGGAAAAGCTTGACCAAGCTGGAGACACCGCGCGGAGACGGCCGAAGCCTTGGGTCGACCTAGGCAACCTACCTTGCCGAGCTCATCCTCGAGCGACGTGTGCTCGCCAGGCGAGATGGTACTAGGAGTCGAGGTTCCGCTGCAGGATCCGTTCACGCTCGTCTCGTGTGGCAGCGTGATGGAAAGCGGCGAGCACTCCTGACGCCACAGGCTCCGGATCTCACCGTCGTGCACCTGCGCGGAAAAAGGTGTCCAAGCAGGAGGTACTATGAGAAATCGTCGACCGTGTACGCGCTTGCGTGCGTTCGAAAGTTTATTTTCCATTCTTTCGCTACATGTTCCAATCGGTTAGGGTACACGAAAGCGTATGCATAGGTTTCTCTGGCTAGTTTGTACTAGTCTGAGGAGAGTGTTTATCTACGATACCGTGGAGTCTCTACGAAGCTTCGTAGCCGAAAAGCTTGCCGCAGAGCCACGAGAAGGAGAAGAGACGCAGAGATACGAAGAAGGCGAGGAGAAAGACGAGGAAACTAACCGCGCTGTGAATCTCTTGAGACCAGCGTTTGTCGACACCGTCACTGGTGCTGTATCCGCTGTCGACGTTGTGTCTCCTGTGAGTCCTCGTGTCCAGGGTCGCGTGACCTCTGACATCCAAAGGTGTTCTTCTCACGCGGCCGCCTCTGGCTCTCTCGTGTTTCGCCGCCTGTCTCTCCAAATACTTAAAGATGTGCGTTCGCCCGCGAATGCATAGCTGTAAACAGAGAGATCGGGAGGATAGTCGAGCGTTTAACAGATGTTTGGATAATTAGACAATGGAATCGAGAGTCTGACGCAGAAGCTACTCTATGCTCACCGAGGCAGGCGGCGAGGTCAAGGGATTATCGGCTAGCCGAAAGTCGACCAGGCTCTTCATTTTCCTCATCTCGTTTGGAAGCACGGATATTCGGTTGCCGCTGATATCCAGCTTTACGAGTCTCAGGTACGTCAGTTCTGCGCAGAACGTTCGTTTTTACGATCGCGAGCTGCATCGTTTCATCGGCAATGAAACGAGAGCCCGAAGAGAGAAGGGAGAGACAGAGAGGAGAGAGAAGAAAAGGGAAAGAAGGCGGGGCAAGTAGAAAAAGAGAATCTCGATGCAGGGATTGAAAAATCTCCAACGATCGAATGAAACGCGAATTCCTATCCCTGGCGTGGCACCTGTGCGATCGGCCTTAAGCAGAGTGGCGGCGCTACCTACCTATAGGCAGGTGCACGATCATGTTGCTCCTCAAGTCCAAGGACCTAAGTCGCGCGAGATCGCCCATCCGAGGCGGCAGATTGGTGATTTCGTTGCAGCCGGCGTCCAGCTCTGCCAATGCCGTCATCCTGCCCAATTCGTCCGGCAGGGATGCCAATCTGTTGTGAGCGACCAGCAACGTTTGCAGCGGTAGCCTGCATATCTCCCGAGGTAGAGACGTCAATTGGTTGCGACTGCGAACAAAACCGACTATGCGAGTTAATTCTAAGCCCGCATCGATGGTGGGGATCATCAAGCAACGCGACTTCCTGCCTCTACCGACCTAAGATCGAGGTAGTTGAGGGACTGTAGCATCACCACGGTTTCCGGTATTATTCTTATGGCATTGTGGTAGAGATGTAGCTTTTCGAGGAACAGAAATTCCGTCACCTCTTCCGGTAACTCGGCGAAACGGTTCTTCGAGAGATCTGCAACAAGAACGAAACAACCATTACTCGTGACTCGTCGTCGTCTCGTCGCATCTTTCCCATATACCATTAGCATCCACTCTAGCGTTCGCCGTCAGCAGTGTTAGTAGGCACAGTTGACTTTCCCGAATTCGATCTTCGGTGAAGGAACGAACGTCAGAGGTGCCATTTTCAAGAATCAACGAGGACAACGACGAACGCCAAAGTGGATTCTACTCCATACGAGACACTCGATTACTTCTCGAGGAAGTACGATTACTCCGGGAGACATCGTCAGGATTCCCGTGGCAACAGCTGTGCTCCGGTTAGGGTGGTGCTCGAGTTCGTTGGGGGTTCTTATGAATGGGGTGCGACGGTCACGTGCATGCACAGTCTCGAAACGTAGGAAAAGGATAAGGGTGGCTCAGCTGCTGTTGGCTTCGGGCCTCCTTTCTGATCAATAACTACCGCGCCTCTGTGCTTTCGTTTCCTCCGGGAGCCGGTTAACCAACGGTTCGACTCGTCGCTTTCCTTCGAGCCGGCTTTTCCAACTCCCTTGACTATCGACCGCGCCCATCCCGACCAACGACACCCCCGATACGTCTCTCTCACGATTCCGTCCGTCAAGACAGGCGTGCAAGTTCCGAGACGAGCCTTCGAAACTGGTCCACGCGGATCGGAACGCTAATTCGAGGAAATCTCTCGCCGCTTTCTCGGAAATTGCATCTCGACCATCGAATTTATGCGATCGGAGAGGAAATTGCGGATCGATCGTCGACGGTATATCCGGCTTTGTCGCAAACACCTCGGGTAAACACGTCCCTGCTGTCTGCTGGTCTGGACTCGCGAGTCGGCTCGCAGGAGAACTTATTACCATCGGACTTGTATCGAATGAGCGGCTGCGTTTCCCTCGTGCACGCCCACGACCGTAATATGGGAACGAGTGCATGGGGTGGAAAGCAAAAGCGTGGAGCCATCGGTACACGGTCGATCGCATAATCGTCGTGTGTAAGGGCGTCGCCCGTTGGTGTTGGTGCGATGCAGACGAAAATAGCAACCCCTATTCCGTTCTCTGTGCCATCGCCACGACTCACTCTCGTCCAAATGAAACTAAACAAATTTTTACCGCGCCTCTGTCGACTCTGTCTAATCCCCTCGAGGATCCGGTGGTACTCCCTGCAGTACTCCCTGTCGTACTGTAACGATCGATCTCGATCCCCTTTCGGAACGTGCGAAAGGAACCTTGGCAAAGTCACCCCGCGTCGCACGCGAGGACCTATCCGAAAAATGAATTAGCTATGGAAATTCGTGACTATGGCACACGAAGGGTGTTCCCAAAGGGGTCGGTGCACCGGGCGATTCCAAGGACCAAGGTCTAGGTCCGAGTAGCCGATCGATAGCATACGCGATACGTAGATTGGCGTGACGCGGTGCAAAGTTCCTAGAGTGTGATTCGCGAGCGGATGGGCGTGGCCCGGTTGTTGTCCACGTTGCGGTTTTCCGCGATGAGAACAATTAGGCGGATAAGCGGCGCTTAACCCGGCTGCCTTCCGACCGCTAATAATACCACGCCAACGGAATATCAAGTCCCCAGCCAGATCGAAGTGTTTGCATTTTTATAGCACGCCCGCGAGTCGCCGCTTGCTTATGCATACGAAGACAATAACGCCGGAAAGACGGTCCGCGCGATCACAAAGGGTTGCACGTATATGACAACGCGCCAGTGGAAAACGTACGCCTGGTAATTTCCATGGTAATCCAAGATAGAGAACGACGAACCGGACGCGACTGAGATGAGCTAGGTAAAAATGGAGCGTGTTCCTTGGACGATTAATCGGTTCGATAATGGGTTCCGTAATCGGTTACGACACCTTACGAGTCGCAGGCCGCCTGAGAAACGATTCTCGCGATTTTCACGCAAATCCCCGTGTTCCTGCGAGCAAAGTCACGCGATTATTCCGCGAATCTCGCGAGTTTACGGGGTCGTGAGCAAGCCGCGGCGTTGTTTGGGCGTGCCGCGTCACGAAACGTCGGCTACCATCGGCGATACGAAACGCGGGGGTCAACGACCACGTGCAAAAATTGCCTCGTGCGCTAATTCAAAGTCAGCGTGAACGCGAAGCTAAGGGAAATGGTAGGTCGTTCGACTGTCACGCGAAAGTTCGATAGACGAAGGTCGGTTGGAGTAATCGCGAGACGCTGATGAAATTGCCGGTGAAACGTGGATAAAACGGGAATAAAAGGTGGATAAAATCGTGGATAAATCCGGGAAGGAAATACTGCATAACCACGTTATGTTATCCTTGCGGGTGTACACACGGGGTTATAAGAGTTCGCATAAGGGCCGCCGTGAAACCGTGGAAACAGAGGGTCGGCCGATCGATAACGCCCCCATAGGAGATATCGTCCATGGGGTGAGCCGCACGAGGAGTGCAAGGTGTCCCATGAACGGCGAGCCACCCTCTTTTCCCGAGCTTCTCTGCCGGAAAATAAAATCATTCGGGACGCGGCGAACGCCTCGCGAGCTAACGATCGGTAACGACGTTAGAAGTTCGCTAACGAGCCACGCGGTCCGTGCACTCGAAACCGATTTAATTCCACTCCAGATACGTTATTAAACGGTAACGCGCTTAACGATCAATTCCAGAGCCGTGATTAACACTCGAGGGGTGAGCGGAACGGATGACAGAGCGCTTTGCCGTTCCTTTCTCGCGATCAATCGTTGGGCTGTCGATCCGACTGTCGTCCCGACACAGACCTCGTGCATCTTGCGTCGCTAGGTGCGATTGACTTTCACCGTGATTCCCGGCGAGTTGCGTTGCCACCAACACGTCGCACGAGGAAAGAAAGGAGAAAGAGCATGACGAGAAAGGGAGGAAATCGTGGCCGCGAAGTCGTGCATAGACTGGAAACTCTGCATGCTCGTTTCGCCCTTGAACCGCGTGGCTACCGCGGTGGTGTCGTTGGTCGAGGAGATCGCGTCAAAGGCGAAAAGAGAAAATCGTGGAACAGCCACGGGTGGAGGGGTACGGGAAGGTGGAGCAAGAAAGGACGTATGCCATCGTTGCTTTTGTAAGTGGCCGACACACCACTTCCGGCGACGAGGACGCGAGCGCGGACGCGACTCGCATACTCTATGCAGCCGATGGCGGACGGAAGAACAGTACCGAGTGGCACTTTGCGATCGGATCGGCGACAGTCGAGGAACGAACATCCGATTTTTCCTTTATCCTCGCTTTATCCTCGCTTTATCCTCGCGTTACCCTTCCCTCGTCTTTGGTACATGGTCGAATCGGTGGATGCCTGATGGCCATGGCAGTGTGGCATCGCGTGACGAGGATGGACGAACCGATGATCGATCGTGTCGAAGTCGGACGTCGCCGAGACCGGTCGGCAGGCTAGCAGGACGAGTCGTCGAGCATCTGGTAGTGGATGATTTGACGTTGCATGAATTAAACTCGAACGCAGGGATCGGTGGAGAGAGAAGGTGGAATAAAGAAGGTAGTATCGCAGCCGGTTTCCATACTCCTGACCGTGGCAAGCAATGCGTGCCGAACAGTGCGTCGCATTGTGTATGCTGCGTGTTCGAGCGTACCGGTACACGCGCGTACGCTCGCGCGAGCCGTACGCGTCGGATCACGAACAAAGCACGCGTGTCCCTCTCTCCAGACCGATTTCCATTTCCATTTCCATTTCCATTTCCATTTCCATCGCGATCTTCGTTTTTCGCTGCCTCACGACCGCGACCGAATTTCGTTCGTTCTCAAGGACTCCGAGTTACGCGTTCCTTACACACACGAGTGTAAAGAATGCCTTGCATTTCTCTTTCAAGTTAATTGCATTTCTTCAATTTTACGATACGTTTAACATCGCGAAACAATGACTGGATGAGTACCCGACTACCGAGCATGATTGATAATGGAATATCTGAACCGCAGTCTCAACGCGGATATCCTCTGCTTTATCGCAGTTATGTATCAGTGGGATAGTCCAACGAGTGACTGAAATCGTCATTGAAATACCGCGAGAGGGAAGCTCGAAAATAATACAAACCGGAGAAATTTATTTCCCAGTATTTTCGTTTCTATCACGTAACCATTTCTATCCACCATCCCATAAAACCGTGCTATGAAGACCGTTTGATAAGAAAATCGTGTCGCCAGACTGTCGCGATTCTCATCGACAAGTCGACAGACAAGAAAGTACGAAACGCGATGAAAGCAAGACGTTAAAACACCGAGTTCCAATGGAACCGTGATAAAAAGCACGCGTTTCCGTTCACGATCGAGGAAACCAGCCAGTATTTCTGTAACTCGAAAATTTCCAAAGCCACATACTCGTCCGCAAGGTAAATACGAGCAAAGAGACAGCGGTGACGATTACGCGCGTTGATTCGACGATTCACGACGCGTGAAATCCGAGGCGGAAGCGTGAACAATCGATTCGTCGTTGGCCGCTTTCGCAGAAAAACTTTTGCCTGCTCGTCGAAACGAGAGTTCACCACTCGTTGCTTTCCTCAGGCTGCCGCGACGCCGCTTCGAATATCACGGCATCGCGTTGGAACATCGACATCAACAGCGGCGTGGTACGACTACCCTGTGCGCACCCGTCCTCGTCCGCTTTCTTCTGGCTCCGAAAAGCTCTCCTCGAGGGTCTCGTTTACCCAACTCCCTCGCCTGGTTCTCAGCGAACGCGGACCGAGTTCCCAGACTGCACAACTCCGCAGCGCCATCCTTGACCCAAAAACTAATACCCGAGGTGGAAAAGAGCGAGCGACCCGAAGAGCCAGCTCGTCGAAAGGTGCACGGGGTGTAACGAAACCACGCTCGATAACGCGTCGAAAGATCGCGTTTCAGCGGCGCGCAGCCAGCGTTCCGCTCGAACGGACCATTTTTTCCAACGACCTCCTGCGACTATCGGATGGCAGCCTGGCGTCTCTCTGTCGAGAACGCGATACCTCGGCGTCGACTCCGATTCGAGGCTGTTCAACATCCGCGACTTCGTGCGGGTGAAAAAGGCCG